CAGTGACTTAACAACAAGCACTCTCTGGAAGCTGGTGTGAGCCTGCTCAGCACATCACCAGCCCTACCCTTTTTGCAAGACCCTGAGTGGTGCAGGGCTATGTCGGGCCACTGCCTCTGCTGCAGCTGCCAAAAGTCATGATGCAGATTCCCTTATTAGGGGGCTACTGCCCAGGGCCACAGCATCACTGTGAGCCCTTTGTTCTCTTCACTCCAGAGTCCCAAAGTCCCAAAAACTATGGGGTGATAAGAGCTCCATCAGCCTGCATCTATTCCCTCTGCCTTGTTTCTCCCTCTTCCCCCAAGGCTCAAATCAGGCCTGGACAAGGCTAGGAACTTGAAACCTGCTATCTTCTACTTCTATGGCTCTGTCATCTTTATCCCCAAGTTCTGGTGCTTAAATTGTGTCCTCATAGATCCAATCTCCCCCGTACCTGTCAGTTCCAGAACAATGATGGGTGTAAGTGCAGTGGAGATGGATGGAACAGGTCCACCCAGCAACAGAGGAGGACTCTGAGCTCCAAGAACTAACAAGCATCCTTCATAAATATCCAACACCATACCTTTTAAATTAAATATACTACAGCTTACCCATATAAAACAGTACTGTGCAAACTTTTAAAAAATGTTTCCTGGTATGGCAAAATGATGACTGTATTACATTACACTAAGGAGCAAGAGGTTTTTTCCTGGTCAAATGCTACAACATAGATGAACTTCGAGGACATTATGCTGAGCAAAATAGCCTGACACAAAAGGGCAATTCTGGCATGATTCTATTTATACGAGGTATCTAAAGTAGTCAGACTCAGAAAAACAGACAGTAGATGGTGGTTGCCAAGCAGGAGGAAGAGATGGGGAGTTGTTGCTTAATGGGTGTAGAGTTTCAGTTTTGCAAGATGACAAAGTTCTGGAGATCTATTGCACAACGATATCAAAACAATTACCACTCCCAAACTGTACACTTAAAAATGGTTAAGATGGCGAATGTTCTTTGAAAAAGCAAGAGTTTTTTTCAAATTAAACCACAAACCACAGAAAATACCCCAAAGATTCAGTTTATCTAGAGATGTGACAGTGAATCAGAACAGTTCTTGCTCCAGGTCTCAGTGAGCTTACACTCTAGTGGGGAGACCTGTGAATGGGGAATAGGTGCAACATTACAAGGACCGTGAGTGCTCTGAAGGAGCCGCACACGGTGCTCTGAGCATGTGCAATCACAGCACTGACCTGGCCCAGAAGGCAAGGAGAGTGGCTAAGGGAACAGGAGGTGGGGTGAGGATCCCAAAATCGCATCCCAGGGAAGAGGAAGAGCGCCCTAGCAGGTGGGGACACAGTGATGTGCCCTCCGGAGGGAGAGAATGCATGCATCCTTTTATGAGCATCTGGAAGGACACACACACACACCCTGACCAGCAATTCCCTCCCAGTGGCTGGGTTATCACTGTGCCTCATCTTCTTAGTGCGCTTCTCTATCGTACAACTTTTTCACAGTGAGCGTGGATGATTTTGCAGTAAGGAAGAGGCATCAGAAAGCAACCTGACCGCACAGATGGAGAGCAGTGCTCTTTATTTATTTATGCTTTTCCTTGTTTCAAAGAGGATTTCAAGCTGCTTACAATTATGTTAACAATATAGCAGGCTAAAATACCTTGTCACTAAGTAAGAAAAATGAGGGGAAGCAAAAACACTGGCTGGAAGAATCAGACGAGAAAGGTGGGAGACTTCCCTTCCCTCAAAAGGGGCAGGCCTGTCCTGTTCCTCGTTGGGTCCAGTCTTGCATTTAACTCAAATATGGACATTTAATTGTCCTGTTTTTATACTTTGTCTTCTCAACTCCATTGAAAAATCTTTCACTGTGATTTTCTCTTTTATTACTCTCTCTCCCTGAAAATATAATAGTTTAGTTTTCCGTTGTGTCTTTTTGCAGTTTTAAAAATCTATGTCTCCCCTTTCCCACCGGGATCCACTATAGCACAGTGACGTATTCAGAGCCTCCGCGAGGCAGGTCCTCAAGGGTCTGTGAGCAAATGGCCTTGTGAGGACTGAGGGCGACTCACACCCGCTCCCAGCAACACGCGGCCGGGGACACACCCTCAGCTCGGGCTCAGGACACGGTTGCCAATTTGATTTATGGGACTTATTATCCCAAGTGGTGGCAGAGAATAGATATTGATTCAAAAGGGTTTAAATAAATAAGTGGATGCAGCATCCAGAAAGGGCTATGGACTGAGGAGAGGGGTTTGCACAGCAGCTGAAGCTGACTTGTGAAAAAACTCTGGTTCTCTTAAAGACTGTGCCTCAGGGAGTCACGGGCGGATAGGGATGGGCTGTGGAGTCAGCAAGCGCAGGTTCACATTAGGCTCCGTTGCATCAGGTGACAGGGGAGTGACCTTGGGCAAGTCATAGAAACAAGACCTTTTGTGAGGACTGCTGAGAGGAATGGATATGTGTATACGTTTGTGTATGCATATACATCTGTGTGTATGTGTACATGTGCATTTACACGTGTATATGTACATGCATGTGCACACATGTATATATGCACGTAGTGTGCATATAAGTGTCCATATGTGTATAGGTTTGTGGATCATGTATGTGTGTGTATGTGTATTGTGTGCACATGCATATGCATATATCTGTACATGTGACATGTGTATGCACATGCATGTATAAGTATGTATATGTTATATGTGCATAAGTATGTGCACACATGGGTATATGTGTGTAAATGTATGTGTATCCCTGATATGCATACATATGTGTATATGTAGATATGTACATACTTACTGCACGTGTGCACTGCTTGTATGTATAAAAGTACAGCCATGCATATATGTATGTGCATGTGATGCATGTGTGTGTGTGTGTATTCTCACATATGGATGTAGCTCATGCCCTGGCACATAGTAGTTGCTTGAGAAATGAGAATTCCCTCTTATAACACCTTCCTTCTATTCCATTTGTGCAGCAGTGAGCAACCTGAGGTCAGAACATATAGAGCACTTCTAAAGCTCCCCCATCATACTCCCTGTAGTCATCTCAGGGTTTCTCATCCCCACTGGTTCAATACTACCACAATCACCAGCAACAGTAAGTTTCTCTTTTAAGTCACTTACAGTATATTCCAGTTACTGTGACTACATTACAAATTCCCTCAAAATATAGCGGCATAAAACAACTGTTTAATTTGCTCATGGATTTTGTGAATGGGGAATTCAGAGAGTGCACAGAGTGGGGGGCTGATCGCTGCTCCATGATGTCTGAGGCCTCAGCTGGGGGGCTTGATGGCTGGGGCTAGAAGCATCTGCAGGCTTCTTCACTCACATGTCATTGGGGGATGCTGGTTGTTGGCTGAGAACCCAGCTGGGGCTGTCAGCTGGAACACCTACATGTGACTTCTTGGCTTCTTCATAATCTGGGGGCTGGCTCTAAGGGAAGTGTCCTGAGAGGGCGCCCAGTGAAAGCTGTAGCACTGTTTATGACTTAGCTTTGGAAATCACACAGTGTCACTTCCAACCACATTCTATTGGCAAGGTGGTTACAGAGCTCTGCTAAGGTTGAAGGATGCAGACGCCCCTCTTGATGGAGGAGTATTGATGTCACGCTGTAAGATGTGAGACAGGAGGATGCATGTTGGCGTGGCCATCTTTGGAAAATACAGTCTGCTGGCTAGGTAGCTTAGGTGATCTTTTCTTTTTCAAAAACAAAAAGGGGTTAGGTATAAATACCTCCATTCTAGAAATGGACAAACTGAGATTCAGAGATGCAAAGTAACTTACCTTGGGCATTTTATTTAGCCTCTCTGAACCTCAGTTACCCTATCTATAAAATGGGCAGAAAAATCTCTACCTGAATAGATTGTTATGAACCTGCAGTGCTTATTATGTTAGGGCGTTGGAAGTTTGGAGTTGGGAAAGCATTTTGTGATTTCTAACAGCCAGTGTTAATGCAGGAGCGCTAATCTTTATGGTCATAACATTGTGATCTCCTTGCCCCTCACCTACAGCTACACAGCCAGCTGGGGACAGGAGTTTTTCTCCACATCAACTCGAGAACAGAGCTTGTCCCAGCATTTTGAAGGGGGCTTTTGTGATGAGAGCTCACAGTCCCCCTTCCTTGCTTGCTTCAGTCTTCTGAGGGGAAAAGTACCTTGTGAAGAATGCTGGTATTTGCTTATAAATTCCAAATGTGTAACCCTTAATAACTCATTCAGTAAATTATGTGCGCTTTGATCATACTTAAAAGTGGCTTAGTTGAATGTACTGTGTATGTCTCCCCCACAGAAGCAGGAGGAAGGACTGGCATTTTTGCATGAATTCTTGGGCCCCAGAAGGACTATTCTGGCCCCTAGATGGGCCGAGGACCATCTTGAAAAATCATTTCTCGAGGGATTCATTCCAGGCCCTGTGTCTCTCATTGTCAATCTACCTGTGAGGTCTTAGGCCTTAAAAGACCTCTTTGCTGTTCACTTGTCATATTGAGAGGAACAAATCCCTTCCCATGACCCTAAACTGTCCTTTGACTGTCTCAAGGAGGCCACTAGCTGAGCAAGCTGTCCCTGGACCTGGCTGGCTGGAACTGCTTTTAGCTTCTGCTTGGCTGAGCTTTAAAAGGTGGGTTCCTCTTCCTCTGCCTCAAATCTCTGTTATCCCTAACACTCATCATAACCCTAAACAAGTTAGTTCTAAAAAAAATCCTAATAACATAGTTGAGAAAATTGAGGCTCAGAGAAGTAGCTGTGACCTGCCCAGGGTCACACAGTATGTAAGTGCCAAAGGTTCAGGAGGGTTTGGATGCTTCTATGGGGATATGTCAGCCCTCTAGTAGCTGATAAGCCCAACCCCTTGGAGCTCTAACTCCTCCTCCCTCCTTTGTGTCAACGAAAGGAAAATCATTTCCTATTCCTGGCTTCTCTGCCAGCCCAGAGAGTGAATGACGAAGAAAAGTCTCTAAATGTACCAGGATGGTCTTTCCCGGTTTCTCAGTTTTGCTGTCTTTTTTTGTTCAAGATCTGTTTCCTACAGACCCTGAAAATTACAGGTGTGGGGGCCTGGGTAACAGCTGCCCTCGTCTCCTGGGCTTGGTCCGGGCTCTCTGGAGTTTGTGTCCTGGGGCTGTGTGCTCAGACTTGACCATGTTTGGGCATGGAGGCTCGTCCCAGATGGGGACCAAAGGCTGCTTTCCCAGAGATGGGCTGGGAGCCCAAGCTTGCTGCTGCAGCTCAGACAGCCTCTTTTGGGGTGGGGGCTGGGGGCCAGGCAGAAAGTATCCGCCTGCTGAAGACTCCAGGGCAGCAGAAACTGTGAGTACTGCGTCCAGAGCACTTGGGGAGTGGTTTCTCCAAACACTGGGGCTAGAGGTGAGGTCTTGGGGGAGAGAGACTGGCAGTGGGAACTTGCTTCCTTAAGGGAAGTCCATCAGGATTCTGGGCTCCAGGGGGGCTGATAGTGGTGTCACCCAAGACTAGCACTGCTGGTATTTGTGCCCATTCTGGTGGCCTGCTCCATGGCTGGGTCACTCCTAGCACTCAGGTCCCAGATTCCAGAGCAGCCAGGGGCAGCAGCCTGGAGAGCAGCACCAGTCCTGGCACTTGTCCCCAGGGGAGGAGTGGGACAAAACTTGGCTCAGCAAGAGCCCTGGGGACTTCTGCTCCAAGCCTTCAGGATTCCCTTTGTTAAGAGTAACAGCTAATATTTATTGAGAGCTTGTGTTGGGCCAGACACTGGGATCAATATGTGATATTTGGTATGCCACTTGGTCTTTGTAGAACTGTCTGAAGCAGGTACTATTATTCTCCTTTTACAGCCACATGGTTGCTAAGTGGCAAAGTGAGGATTTGATCCCAGATCCGCTGACTTCAGAATCCCTGCCCCACACTCCACCAAACGCTTGAACACTGTACTCTGTGCCCTGTCCTTCTAAGGACAAGAATGCCAACCAAAATTCTAGGTCCTATCTTCTTTTAATTTTTCCCATCTTTCCTAAATTCACCCCAGACTTTGAGTGACTTTTCTAGATGGAAGATTAGCCAAAAAGTCCAGAGGTATTTAGCAACTCAAAAAAGTGAGAAATTCTTCTTGGAGTTTAACTGAAATCCCCCCTATTAGAGCCACAATCCATTTCTTCCTTTCTAGGCCATCAGCAGTGCCTACCTTTCCTCCCGTCTGAAGGTTCTCACTATGGTTGTCAAATCCTATACCCATACCCATACACATACCCATATCCTCACCCCATTCCTGAGTGGTCTTTGAAGTATTGATCACGACTCTGCAAACCTACCCACTCGGTGTAGACAATCTCACCAGAGCATTACAGATAGGTGGGACCTGAGCAAGCGGCAGGTTTCAGACTTCTCTTTGACAGGGGAGCCTCTCAACTCCTCTCCTCCTGAGTTTCCAGATCTGGTCACACAGCACCCCTGCCTTCCCAGTGTCCGGAGTGCCCAGGGCCAGGAGGACACAAGATGTTTTGCAGCAGAGGAGTCAATGCCCCTGAGAGGACTGAGTAGCCTGGAAGGTAGGGCACATGCCAAGGGCAGCTCCTCGGGTACACCCAATCTCCAGGAAAGGAGTGGTTTTGTTTGGGGCACTGAGTGGGCCCTGCTGCCCCTTTTCTGTTTGCTGCCCCCAACTCAGCCAGGCTTGCTTGGGATTGTGTTCACAAACTGTGAAATGTTCCAGGTTTTTCTAAGATGAGTGTCCTAGAAAAAAATGCTCAGATGTCCCACCCCTGCTGCCCACTGTATTCATCTATTTCCTGTATTACTTTTCTGTTGCTGCCATAATGCATCACCGCAAACTTGGTGGCCGCAAATAATGGAAATCTCTCACATAGTTCCGGAAGCCAGTGCGGTGTTGGTAGGGCCGAAATCAAGGTGTCAGCAGGGCCCACTCCATCCAGAGGCTGAGGGGACAATCTGTTGTTCCTTGTCCCCTCTGGCTTCTGGTGGCTGCTCATACTTCCTGGCATGTGACCACAATGTTCCAATCTCTCCTCCCTGGTCATATTGCCTTTTTCTCTTCTGTGTCTAATCTCCCTTTGCCTCATTGTAAGGACCTCTATGATTACATTTAGGGTCTACATGGATAGTCCAGGATAATCTCTCTATCTCAGGATCCTTAACTTAAAGTCTTTGCCACATGAAGTACCACTCACAGATCCCAGGACCTCTTGGGGGCCATTACTGAACCTATCTCACATCGTGTGACCTTGCACAAGTCACTCTACCTCTCTGAGCCACAGATCCCTCAACTGTAGAATGGAGATGATAACACTTGCCTCTCAGAGTTAATGGAAGGTTTGCGTGAGTTCAAAGAGCCCTCTGAAGTTACAAAACTCCATACAAAACTAGAGGTGATGTTGATCACTGAGCAGTCTCCCTTTTTACCTGTCCCCCCTTCTGTGGATTACTTGTTGCCTAGGCTGATCTCATATCTGTTTGCCTCTATGGCTCTAGAAATGACCACTGCCTGCCGTGGACATGGGCAAGAAGCTGGTGATGGCCCAAAAGCGGGGAGAGACTCGAGCCCTTTGCCTGGGTGTGGCCATGGTGATGTGTGCTGTCATTGCCTACTATATCCTGGGCACGACCATGCTGCCCCTCTACCAGAAAAGGTAGGGCACTCTCCTGGCCTGCTCCCATCCTCCAGCTGCTCTCCTAAGGCTCTGGTCTGCCAGGAACCCCGGTCTTCTTCATACCCCCACCCCCTTGACTTCACACCAGGCAGGAAGGTCTGGACAATCATTCTTAGGGTGAAGGGTTCAAGTGCAGGGAGGGGTAGGGCTGGCTGGACTCTGCTCATCGGGGGTTCTGGGACTTGGGGATAGCAGACACAGGAGGCCCTTCTCACAAGAAACAAAGAAGGATCAGAGCAAACATCCCAGTGTGAGTTTGATCCCAGGAGAAATCAGAGGTTTTAGATTTTCATAGCTTGTCTGCACTGCTTGAGTCCCCCTCTGAAACCTCCTGGTCAGGTGGGCGTCTAGCCTCCTGTTGAATGTCTCAAGTGACGGGGAGCTCAGTACGTCACTGTGCATATTTCATTTTGGGTTTTTTCTGTAAGTAGGAAATGTCTACAATGAACCAAAACCTGCTCCTGTGGAGCTCTGCTCTGGAATCTCAGAGAATGTTCCTTGTTCCCTAACATGTCAACCACTTGAGCTTTTAAAAGGAAAACTGTGAAGTTCCTGATCCATTCTCTGTTTGGAATAAACATGCTCAGTTCGCTCATCCTGTTTTTTGAGGCTAAGTCTCTGACCCTCGCCTCTGGGCATGTTCCAGCTGCTGGCAACCCCTCCATCTGGTGATGTGTGTCCTGCCTGATAAACGGGAGATGAGTCACAGTTGATTCTCTGATGTGTTGATGAGCCTGTTAGTCCCTTCTGGGCCTGCTTCCTCCTCACTTTTTATAACCCTGGAGTGATTCCAGGTTGGAATCTTACCCAAGGGGTGATTTCTAAGAGGCAAACAAGCACTGATATTCTGATTCTATGGTTCTTGCCATGTGTTGGGCAACTCTGCGTTCACACTCCTTTAGTGCTGAATGCTTACGACAAGACGAGGGTCCCAGCCCTAGGTCTCTCTAAAGGGGTTCAAGCCTGGAGCCCATGTTCTGAGATATGTACGTGTGTGCATGGTCTCCCCAGTGTGTGGACGCAGAAATCCACGTGCCATCTGATTGAGACCAACATCAGGGAGCAGGAGGAGCTGGAGGGCAAGAAGGTGCCCCAGTACCCGTGCCTATGGGTTAACGTGTCAGCTGTGGGCCGGTGGGCTGTGCTGTACCACACAGAGGACACTCGGGACCGGAACCAGCAGGTACTGATGGTGGTGGTGGGGCAGCTGGGCACGTGTCCCCTTGTCCCTGGCAGGTGTGGGGGCCTCTTCCTAAGGAATCCCCATCCCTGCTCTGGAGAGTAGAGGCTAGGAAAGCTGAGCCTACTTGACATGGAGGTCCAGCTAGACTTAGCTCTTCTGGTTCGGAGTCAGACAGACCTGGGTTTGAATCCCCATTCTGCCACTAATTGCTGTATGGCCAGGCCACTGGGCCCTTCTAAGTCGCATGTACCACCTTTGCTGAAATGCTATTATGAAATCAGAGGCTGTGTGGTCTGCTGAGCTCCATGTCAGGTGGATAGAAGGTATTTCTATAAAGCAAGTCAAATGAGAGGCCAGACCCAGAGCTGAGCCCATGGAGGAGAACACCTGAGACACCCCCTCTCCCCCGGTGAAACCAGAGGCCCAGGACTGAAGTAATCTCTGGAGGCCAATCAATGCCTGGGAGATTTTCCCATCATTGCCTTTCCCCACACACACCCCAACCCCCCATCCTATCCTTTCATATAGAAAATACAAGTTGGCCATATCCATTTAATGATTCACTCACTCATCTGGTAGTCATTGAGCACTTCCTGTGTTAGGAGCTCTGGACTCAGGAGGAGAGAGCTCATCTGGGAAATAGTATGTAGTGGGGAGGGATTGGTGCCATGGAGAGGAACAGAGAAAAGTATGGGGTTAAAGGTGGCAGTAACTTTTTCCAGCCAACAGTGAGGCGAAGGTATCAGAAAAGCATTTGGGTTAGACTTTAAAAATCAAGCAGATGTTAGATACACAGACACGTGAGGGCAGCATGCATGGTGAGGGAAGGGCATAGACCATGGCATGGCGGGAGGAAGGGCCTAGAAGAGACGGGACTGGAAGGAGACAGGGTGCGGTGGGGCAGGGAGAGGCTGCAGAGGTGCATTCCACAAGACCCAATTATGGAATCAGAATGCTTTTTGTTTGTAGTAAGTTGCTGTTTGTTTTTTGAGAGAAGCAAAACTTTAATGAAGAAAGGTACAAGTTATGGATAATAATTAGTTCCCATATTTAAAGAAATTAATATAGAAAACACTTTACTGATTTATTTATTTTGCTAAAAAGATAGTCTTTAAGGATATCTGAGTGAGACAGCAGATACAACGCAGTAGGAAAGGAGAAACGTGTGTTGAATTCCAGTGCAAGACACCACATAGCACGATTAAGGAAGCAGGTGGAAGAAGCCATCCCACAAAATATGGGGTTAGGCATTTATAACCAGTAGGGATTTTTTTTTAAGCTTTAAAAGTCCAACATAAGGAAGAGAATTGGGAGAAAGGCTAAGCTTATCTATAATCACCGTTTTACCAAAAAACACACTGATTCAACCTTATGAGAGGGGAGGTGATCTTCCTCAATACCAAAAATAGTAAGAGTGAATGCCAAGGCAGTCAGGTCTCTCTGATCTATCAGGACAGGTCTCTCACCAACCTGGGCTCGGAACACACGAAGTTCCTTTGCATTTGTTTCAGAAGGCCAGAGCTTTATCTGGAACAAGTTCACTCCGACTAATGCTCATGGTGCAGATTTTAGCAGGGAGTGGAGTCATAAGTGGCTCCTAACTGATCCTCCATTTCCCGTAGCATTTCCCAGGGGAAGGTTCTACTGGTTCTCAAGAATTTAAATTCAAGTAGACCGTAGAGAAGGCAAATGCTAATAATATTCTGGCACCGTACAGGCTGTGTGCCTGTCATCTCTGCCAAGGACCACTGAATTATGGAATTAAAATGTGATTGGGCAAGCTGGCACTGCTCAGCTCTGGCTGTGCATTGGAACCACCTGGGCACTTACCAAACTGGGTTTCTACACCAGACCAACTGATGCAGAATCTCTGGAGTCTCCAGGTGATTCTGAGGTTTAGAATTATTTCTATGAGCGACCAGAAGTGTTTAAAGGGTCTGTGGTCCTAGATGCATGATCAGGGTGGTACAGAGGAGTGGAAAGTTCAGTGGTTGGGCAGAGAGGCTGAGGCCAAGGCCAACAGCAGGGGTGGAGATTGAGCCTGTGGTAGGGATGGGTGCTGATGGTGAGCGTTTGGTAGCTGATGGGATGAGGAGGGCAGGGTGCCGAGGGCGAGGGCGTGCAGTGGGATTACTGACAGTGTTGGGGCGTCACTGAGAAGTGGGTCTGAAGAGTGCAAGGCAAGTGACTCATGACACCAGATGGAGGTAGAGCCCCCCAAGTTCCCTACATCAGCTTCTACCAGAACTCCTGCTTCTTCTTTGACATCTAGTGGCTGTTGATTTATCCCGAGGAGCAAGACACAAATTTCCAAAGACAAGCAAGAGCGATCACTGGTGTACTAGGGCTTGGGAGCAGACCGGCTTGCCTGACCTGAGGTCGCCAGCCTCTCCCTGGGTCGGTTTCTGCAGCACACCCTCCAGTCCTGTCTCCATGACAATTCATCCAGGCAGCTACCCTCACAAACCTATTTTACAGGACTCAGAGAGGTTGTGGCATTCACCAAGGTCACATAACTTAGAACTGGTGGCTGAATGCAGGTCTGTCTGGCTCTACAGCCACACCTTTGCTCAATGAGCTGGGTTACCCAGAGCCAAAGTCAGAGGCATTGGGGAGATGGTCTAGGTCCTCTCAGCTCAGAATTCTGAATTCAGCTGCTACTGGGACCCTGCACTACCCAATGACTTTGAATGTCAGATTCCTTGGAGGCAGGTTTCCCGCACCTCAGCTGCTCCCTGGCAGGCTGGAAACCTGCTCTGGACACAGCTTCCCCACTTCCCAGGCTGTCAGAGCCATGATGCAACCATTTTCTTTACTGCTGGCTGAGTGCTATCAGGGCAGGCAGCTTTGGGGCCAGGGTCTCATTCAAACCCAGGGAGTAGCCAAGGCCTGGGGAGAAGCTGGCTCAACACTACACGTTTTGATCTCAGACATGACTGTACCAGGCCAGCGGTCTCAAACTATTGTGCCTGAAGGAGTCACTTGTTTGCAGGGCCCCACCCTCAGCAATTCAGAGTGAATAGGAACTTGTGCTATGGTCAGCTCTCCAGGGAGTCTGCTGCAGGTGCTGTGGGGAAACCACCTTGCGGAACATCTCCCAGAGCCTCACGTAAACAACATTCAGACCTCCCAGCACAGAGCAGAGATAAAACCAGCGTTTCTACTTTGTGCCTTCTCTGCAGAGCTTTCCAGCTGGATCTCATCTGACCAAGCCAGGGGCTCCTAGCCACAACAATCAGTGTCAGAATTAAGTGTATACTATGCTCTGCCTGTACAAACTCTTTCCAATGTGTTCTCTCTTACTTTTGGATCCCAGTGTCAATTACTGGCTTGCTAATGATCTTTTTGTTTGGCTCACACAAACCCTCAAAGGGTTTTCAATTTAAATTTTTGCCAACATTTTAAAATTGTGAGAGTTCACATTAAAATTTGGCTTTCTGGCTTTTCTTGAAATGTCAGAGGCCTGGCTACAGTAGGTCTCCTGGATCGCCTGGCATCCGTCATGCAGATGGCAGTCTGCAGATGGCAGTCTGGATGCTTCTGGCTTTCTCCATTTCACCAGGCGCCACCACTCCCTGACAGTCCTCTCTGGTGCAAGGCAAGTGTCAGCTGGCATTTGCCATCTTCTTCCCTCCCTCACCCACTTCACATGTGGACATTTACGTGCATGAGCCCTGTGGGGAATTGAGTGTATGACCTCTGTCCCAAGCCTGAATACAGAGCCCACTCAGTCTGTGTCACTCATTGGTTAGATAAGCTTGAAGTCCCTCTTTAATTACAATCTTTGAAAGAGATACTGCTATGAACCCATTTAAGAGCTGAGATATCAAGGCTGAGAAAGGTAAGCAATTTGCCTCAGTTTCTACAGCCAATGGAAGCAGAGCCAGAGCTGCAGCTGGGCCCCTGGCTCTGGGTGTGCAGTGGGTACCCTGAGCAGCTCCTGGACCCCCACCCTCACCAACAACACTGTGAAGGCTTCTCTAGAACCATGCAGTGCACAGCCTGCCAAGCCTTCGGCAAATTCATTCCCACTGGGGGCCCCGATTCCAAAGCCAACACTTTTCTTTACTTCATGCTGGCCCCTCATGTCTCCCAAAGAAACAGGGATTTCCAACTTCATGGGTGCTCTTGCTTCCCTCTCCGCCCCCCTTGCAGTGCTCCTACATCCCAGGCAGCCTGGAGAACTACCAAGTGGCCCGGGCCGATGTGGAGAAGGTCAAAGCCAAATTCCACGAGCAACAGATTTTCTACTGCTTCTCAACAACCCGGGAGAACGAGACCACTGTCCTGTATCGGCGCCTCTATGGGCCCCAGACCCTCCTCTTCTCTCTCTTCTGGCCCACCTTCCTGCTGACCGGAGGTCTCCTTATCATCGCCATGGTCAAGATAAACCAGTCCCTTTCCATCCTGGCAGCTCAGAAGTAGACCTATCCATGCCACAAAGCTGCCTGGGCCGCAGGGGGGTCCCCTGGCTGCTCCCTACTTACGTATCCCCGCCTCCTCCCCCTGCTTTCGCACTGTCCACTAGGATCCATAACAACTTCTGCTACATGGTTGGGCTTTGGGAAATGCCTCTGATAAGTCATTCTTGGGTAAGAATGTACAATGAGTCCCTGGGGCTTCAGAGAGCCCAAGGCCAGCTGGTAACAGCTCTCCATTACCTGTCCCCACTCAACTAACTGAAACCCTACTGTGCCACCCACCAGCCCCCAGATAACAATGATGCTTATCTCTGTGCCTGTGTTCTCGTGGTTGGCCCAAAAGCCTACCTTTGCCATCCTTGGCAAACCTTACTTTCTTCTTTGAATTCCATAATGAAAATAACAGCAGCTCCCATGTATAGAGAACATTCAGAATTTACTTTAGGACACTAGGTGCTATATACATTTTTATTCCAATATGAACAAATATAGTTACAAACTTCCAGTTATACATGGTGACTGTAATTAACAATACCATGCTACATATCTGAAAGTTGCTAAGAGAGTAAATCTTGAAAGTTCTCATCAGAAAAAAAAATTGTAACTCTGTATGGTGACAGATGTTAAGTAGATTTACTGTGGTGATCATTTTGCAATATATACAAATATCGAATTATTATGTTGTATACCTGGAACTAATGTAATGTTATATGTACAATTGACATAAAATATGTCAATAAAAATATGTATCACAGGAGGCTATAAGAAAATATAATAAAATATATCAAAATATTAACAGTGGGATTGGGAATTCAGATGGTGGCTAATTTTAATTTACTTTCTCATCCCTCTTTTTATTTTTGGTACTTTTCTAAATTTTCAGCAGTTGGAAGATGTGGTTTTATTGTTTTTAATCAGAAAAGCAGTGACAGATATTATCTTGGAAGGATTTGGATGAGTGAACCTCACGTCACCAAGCAGGAGGAAGTGTACTGGGAAGGGACTGGGCTCCAGTCAGAGGCAGGCTTTTGAGAACATACAAATTTTAAGAACTCTCTGTGGAAGGAAGGTAACCACATAGATGGGGATTTATAATTTATAATGCAGGTAAGTGTATGGCACTGGCCCTGCAAGGGAAGCGTGTCTCACACTTGAAAAGGGCATAAGTGGAGCATGCCATCATCTCTATTATTACTACTCCAAGAAGTTTTCCTAGAACAGTGGTTCTCAAAGTATGGTCCCTGGTGCTGTGACATAAGCATTCTGCGGGGCCTTGGGAGAAATGCACATTCTCTCCAGCCTTTCCTAGTCAGAAGCCTCAAGGGGATGTGATGGGGTGAGACGAGATGGCAGACAGGGGATGGGGACAGCACTCTGTGTTTTGACAATGGCTTCAGTGGCTTCTGAGTGCCCTCAAGCATGACAACCACTCGTGTAGAGAACCAGTGCCCTGTCATTGGGCTTTTCAGAATAAATAAATGACTGCTTGACAGGGCAAGTCCTGAGCCAGATGTGAAGTTAGGCTGATGTCTCTGAAGTTCCTTCAGGAGCTGTGATTCCAGCCGCAGCCCCTAGGTATGAATCTGTCTCTGCCTCTGCTAGATTTCATCTCTCTGGTTCTCAATTTTTTCATCTATAAAAAAAAGGACTCCTCCTATTGGGTAGTTGGGAGGGCCAAATAGAGATTTGACACATGGTAGGTGGCCAGAATGGAAGTAATTGAATACTCAGAAACTTCCAGAAGCAATTATACCAGTGATCATGTTAACTAGCATTTATTGGTGCTTATGTATTACATGCCAGGCACTGTGCTAAGCAGTTTGCCTTGTAGAAACTCAGTTAGATACTATTGAGTCTACCTCAGAGAGGAGGAAAAGCAATACAGGACAGTGGTTATGTATGTCAACTTAAATGTGGCTTCCAATACCCAACCTTCCCATTCATTCACTAGCTGGATGGCTTTGGGCAAATAACCTCTCTGCCTCAATTTCCTCATCTGCAAAATAGGAACTAATAATATTTCCCTTTAAGTGCTGGTATCATATTGGTTATTCTATAAGCTTCCTAGAATAGTAATTGATACATGGTAAGTGTTATATGATATTATGAAAAACTGAAGCTCTAAGAGGTCACTGGCCAAGGTCATTCATATAGCAGGTGATGAGCTGGGAATCAAGCTCTGGGCTGTGTGATTCCAGATCAGACTATCAACCATAGTAACTTGAGCAGACTCAGCTAAAGAGCTGGGGGCCCTAGTCCCTCAAAGCCCCAGGGGCCAGGTAGGGAACAGTGTTGTGTCTCTGGAACCCAACGTGCCCTCATACAAGTCAGGGATGTGAGAGGAGGGCATCTATATTCTGCTTGAGCATCTCTCACTTCCAACCAGGAATCCCTGATGTATCCCCATACCCTCCAGTTTCTTACTTGGGGACATTCTTTCCAAGGGAATATAGTACACCATTCCCCAGAGTTTCTCCCTTCTGGGGTCAGGGAAGTCTCAAGAGTCTCCTGAGTTGTTAAGAAAGCCACAGTGGTGACCTTGCACTATGGTAATGGTACTAATGATAAGATATTACTTTGGGGGGAAATTAGGCCAAGGGTACAATGGGATCTCTCTGTATTAATTCTTATAATTCTGTGGGAATCTGCAAGATCTAAAAAATGTGAGTAAATTTAAATAATAATAAGAAAACAAAAGCCCCCACCATTAGTCTCACTGAAAGGGACTTCTTTGCACATGGTTTCCATGTACCTGCTTTTGGGGCTAAAATACACGGAAACTCAGAAACTCCAAACAGCCTCTGCTAGGGGAAAGGCCCTGTGGCTCTAGAACAATGCCCAGCCCCCACTGCCCCATGCATTATTGATAATGACCTTCATTGGCTTGGGACAAATGCCCTCCTCCTGTCAATGAGACTGGCTTCCATCTGCCTCCTGCTCACAGAACTCCATGGGCAGGATGAACATGAAGTAATGGGCATTTGAGCACAAATAAGTTAGACACTGAGGAAAAACATTTTTTGGGATAATGGCTGCCTAGGAACAAAAAGTCCTCATCAGCTCTTAATAAATCACTGCTAATGAACGTCTCATGTTTCCACCATTTTTGCTTTTCATCTCATGGGCCAGTGACTCACACCTGGAGAGGTGCACCTGGCTTGCTCTCCTGTGTCTCTCCCCTGGAACTCAGCCCACGTTGTGGGGATCAGAGCCGGAAATGGGGAGGTAGAGATGAATCAGACCCAGTGCCTGCCTTCATGGAGCTGGCCACTCTTCCTACCCCCACCCCCACCATTATCAGGGGCCTCCTTCACAATGAAGAGCCTAATTTACACAAATTCAGAATAGTGCAATATAAAATATTAATAAAATCTTCTTGTGACTTATTGAAGTGACTCCAGCCCCCACCCCATCAATAATTTATCCAAAATTTCTCCTAATTTTCAAACTCCTTTCTAAGGTGAGTGCCTTGATTGTAAACTGCATTCATTCTATTGCTAATTGACGATATAGGCTGGTACATAAAAATATGTCATATCTTTAGAATTAGAATTGCATTTTGGGAATTTTTAATTATATGAAATATTCGGGAATATGGTCTTTGAACAAAGTGTAGCTATCCTATACCTCACCAGCGACTGCCTTTTCACATGGAGGGAAAAGAGAAAGGTTGAAGCAAGATCAGAAAGACACCGAGAAATTCACTTCAGACTTGTATAGCGGTTCTCAGGGAGGAGGCTTATGAGGTCATAACTATCCATGATAAACTTAAGATGTTCAGTTTCTTCTTAGATTTCCACAACTCTCCCTTCCCACTTCTATAAAGCAGATGATCCCCAGTCAACTTCCTTAAAGGATTTGAGAGATGGGGAAGGGCTGGATGTAGATGTGAAGACAACAACTTCCAGCTGACCAGTGGACAAAGTTGGGGACTTAGCCAAAGGCTTGCACCTTCTCCCTCAGGTGCACTCTTTCGTTTTTTAAGATTGTATTTATTTATTCATGAGAGACACAGAGAGAGGCAGAGACATAGGCAGAAGGAGAAGTAGGCTTCCCATGGGGATCCTGATGAGGGACTTGATCCCAAAACCCCAGGCTCACCACCTGAGCTGAACTCAGTACCCCAGTTGCAGAGTCTTTAATCTCCCATAATCTCCATCTCCCCATACCAAGCTCTCTCTTTTCTGATATATGTAAACTAAACACAGGGGCTTGCTAAGTATATGCAGCTTCAAGACATGTCTTCTCTCCCCACTCCTGGTGAGATGGTTGCGAGTGTCTGAGCCCGCCTGTGTCAATTCTGGAGCCCCTGCTAGTTCATTCCACGTTGATTGCTCCTCTTCAAATACAAACTCATGTTCTCTGAAGGTAAATAGTTATTTAAAGATCATCTAGTGCTGGGTGCCCTGGTGGCTCAGTCAGTGAAGCCGCTGACTTGGGAATTGGCTCAGGTCATGATCCTGGGGCCCTGAGATCCAGCCCTGCATCTGGGGCTCTGTGCTCAGCTCAGCAGGGAGTCTTCTTGAAGATTCTCTCTGCCTCTGCCCATCCCACCTGCCAGCATTGATGCTCTCTCTAAAATAAATAAATCTTTTTTTTTTTAAAGATCATCTATGCTTCCTCACTTTTTAATTTGGTGCTTGGGTCCTCCCAACAACATTCCTCTTTAGTGACAATCTACATTAATATCCTTTTGACGAGCAACTCATTGTACTGGGAGGCAGCCACTTCCACTGGGGATATGTTTAGCAAATGCCTCCCTGTACAAGAACACGTCATCCCTAATAGTAGAGCTAATATTTATGGAGAACTTTTAGGTCAGGATTCGGGTTGAGCTTTTACATGTGCAGCTTATGTCACCCGAACAATGCCCTTTAGGTTATCATTGCTATCTTCATTTCCAAAATGAGGCAACCGAGGCTCAGGGGAGGGACTTAACTTGCCACAGACTGGAAGTTAGTCAAATGCAGAGCTGGGATTCAAACACGGATAGCATGGCTTCAGACCTTACTCTCAAAGCTCTGTGATTTCTGCCCGTGGTCTCTGTACCAAAAATGGAAAATGCTGAGCAGAGCACAGTCAGGAGCGGCAGTGTGTTGGATGCTTCCATATACCTTCCCACAGAGCCCAGGCTTCCTGCAGGCTCCTCCCTGGAATCATGCCTGTGAAGAGTGAATGGAGGTAGGTTGAGGTCCAAACATAGTGTCCTAAAAAGGCCTGCAAAGGTTCTGACGTGGGTGCTGCTAAGACAGACGGGCCATGCAGTCAGCTACAATCTGCAGGATTCCACGCACCACCCAGCCCACAGCCCGTCAAACACTGGGCGGGAACCAGACAGGCCAGGACCACAACAGTCCCTGAATTAGTCACTCTATCAAAAAGCAGAATGGAAGAGAGGCTGGTCTGACATGACTCTTTCTTGAGGACCCCATGCTTCTCTCAGCAACCCCTGTTATCTTTCCCCATTATTCCTAAATCATTGGTTTAATAGTCCACTCAGCCACTCTAGAATTTGTCCAGGAGTTGACAGCATGCTTATTTATGCATAGCTTTAGAGTCTTCTCTTACAATCATTAATAAAAATCAGGGCATGTGACTCTTCTTGGCAATTAAGTAATGTTTCTGTGACTCTGTTGGCCACTCAAGTAGTCATATTCTTGGAAATGTCTTATATACACATGTTTTTAAACCCTGGTTTATACTCCCTCCATTGAAATTCCCTGAGCCACAAGCCAGAACTCCATTGATGTGGAGCAG